ATTCCTTGTATCAAGGATGAGCAGTGGTTCTCAGCTTGTGGGTCATGAATCCTTTGGCAATTGCTTATCAGATATTTACACTGAGATTCATAACAGTAGCAAGACTATGGTTATGAAGTAGCAACAAAATAATTTTGTGACTGGGTGTCACCACAACATGAGGGACTCTATTGAAGAGTCATAATATTAGGACAGTTGAAAACCACTGCTCTAGAAAATCGGAACTGATACAATGGATGGATGGATGAATGACTCATTGAATGTGTGTATACATAGATACATACATACATGTATGATTTCTTAGATTAGCTTACAGGATCTGATCTGGCTAGTCCAACAAGAGTTGGTTCCTGATGGAAACACTAGATTCTGGTAATTGTGCAGTGCACAAAGCTGTGTGTTTTAGTTGTCTTTTGTTCTGTATTGGAATCCCAAAGAGGTAGTTTATATACCAGTGAAGAAATGTCCCAGTAACACAATAGAGGAACTAGCTAGAATGAATGAGGGAAAGCAGGAAAAAAACAAAAGCTTCTTTCCTCCATGTCTTTTATATGGGCTGCCACCAGAAGATGTGGGCTCCTATTTAAGGTGAGTCTTCTGACCCAAAATTATCCAGATTTATGTGAGTCTTCTTACCTCAAGTAACCCCAAGTAATACCTAGGGATCAAAGATATTATAAGAAAAATACACTAAATAACAAGCAAGAATAAAAATACCAGTATTTAGTAAAATGAACTTAAAACAAAACCTAGTCAGAAAAAAGAGGCAAAGATATTATATATTGATTAAAGGAGAAAGCCACTAAGAGAGCATTACAGTTTGAAAACTTATATACTAAATATAGGTGCACAAATTTTTTAAAGGACACTATCATAGCTAAAACCACAGATTGAATCAACAGTGACACAGGGTTACTTTAATTTCCCCCTATCAATAGACAAGTCACCTAGACAAAAATAAAAGGAAAAACTTTTGATTTAAATGGCACCATAAATGAAACTGGCCTTATAAACATTTGTAGAATATTTTACACAAATACTAAAGAATATACTTCCTTCTCAACATCCCATAGAACATTCCCCCAAATTTATTACATATTAGAACACAAAGCAAGTTTCAACAGATTTAGTATACTTGAAATGATATCCTGTGTTCTAACTGACAATAAAGGAATATAGCTAGATATCAACAACAATAGAAAAGACAGAGAGTACATGACCTATATACTACTAGTGCATAAATAAAGAATACACTAATGGAAGAAAATTAGGTAAGCTAAGAAATTATGAAGGAAATTAAAATATTCAATATTCATACAGTCTAATAAAGAAAATAAAATATATCATAATCTATGGGATGCAATGAAGGCCGATATAAAGTGGAACTAAGAACCCCAATAAAAAAGCTAATGTTACTATTGAAGGCCTGGGAAAGAAAAAAATAAAAAGAAACAAACAAAAAGAATAGATTGGAAAGTGTAATTTTTATCATGGTTGAAATTAATAATATGGATATGAAAAAATGAAAAAAGATCGGTGAAAGGAAGAGATGGCTTCTTGGAAAAATTAACAGGATTGACAACAAACGTTAAGTCACATTAACCGAGAGAGAGAGAGAGAGAGAGAGAGAGAGAGAGAGAGAGAGAGAGAGAGAATGAGTTTGTAAAATAAAGGACAAAAGGATAATGTTACAACAGATACTGAAGAGTTTACATCTATAATCTACAAACCTTGAAAAATTTAAAGGAATAAAAAGTACCTTTAGATATATGTGACTTAAAAAAATTACATGAAATGAAACAAATAATTTAGGTGACTATAATTCAGATTAAACTTACAACAGACACTTAGAGCACATTTTAAAAGCCAATCTTTCTTTGTCATTCTGCAAAACATTGAATTTATATTTCTTTCATTCAACATCTTTATAATCTTAGCACCTATTTTTTCTCAAAATATTTGGCTCCATACCTAATTAGTACTTATAGTCAAATGTATTTTACGACTAATGCATGCTGCCAACCATGCATTGGTAAGCTTTGATGTCTTACAGTTTATGGTTGAAATCCCTGTCAAATGCCCAAAACAGTGATTAGCCATGTAGTTGACTGAAAAAAAGTATCAATTCTTTCAGGTGTTAGGCATTTTGTACCCCAGAAAGAATTGGCATTATGTCTAAATGAATATTTGAAAATTATTTTTGCTCAGTTGAGGAGCTCTGGAGACACTTCCTCATGGAGGGGAAAAATAATAGTTGGAAACATATAGTTGGAAAAATAATAATTACTAGTTGATGTGTAACCAGACAGTCTCAGTTAATTTAAAGGCACTATTGAACATTGTCTTGCTCTATTCAAGTCAAAATACTCTGAAGAGTATCTATACCATTTCTTTTATTTGGGATTCTATTTGGAGATTTGATTTTTTTATTCCTTTTTTTATGTCAGTATTTCTGGTTCCATATTGTAATATGTAATATGGGGTTATTATATGAATTACCTTTCTCAATGATGTAAAATTTATCCCACAGAAACAATTTAAGGGAAGTAAGATTTATTTTTGCTCATTGCTTTAGTCATTATGACATTGCCTGTGGTTGAAGAAGGAATATAAGAAAGCAACTCTCAGTAATTATAAAATTTCAGTTGTATCCAATGAAATTATAGATTTATATTTGTATAGCATTATTAAGATATAGATGACAATGAAGTATTGGGTACTTAGAGCATGTTAACAAGATACTGTTCTTGGCAACACACACACACACACACACACACACACGTAAAGATATAAGAATAGGAGGTCCAGTCTGGGCCCCGAGCACAGAGCAGATCCCGGGTGGCAGCTGTGTACCCAACCTTACAAAACCCAGAGAAAGGGGGCCTCCCAGGAGCTCTAACCCGGGCAGTATCTCAGGTAAAAATGAATCATCCATGATGTCTGATGTTAGACGTTCTAATCCAGATGCTGGCATCCGAACTTATACTACTCAGACCTTCGATGGGGCATTGACAAGGACATCAAACAGCTAGAGATTGACATCACTAGTCTGATGAAGTCCCTCATTTCGCTGTCTGAAGAGACCCCCACCAAAAAAAAATTACAAAGGACTACATTGGACTTCATTTACTCTTTTACAATAGAGAAGACTGTACAGCTCTTGACTGTGTACAACCCTTAAAGAAGAATGCTGCTTTTACATAGACATGACAGGGATGGTTAAAAAGAGCATGAAATAAGGTCAGAGAAGGTGCTGAGAAAAGACAGAGAGAAAGAGAAAGATGAGAGCTGGTACAAGAGTTGATTTTCAACCTCTCCATGGTTGTCAACCCTACTTCCTCCCATCTTGGGACCATAAATTGGGTTATTTTTGCTTATTTCTTTTGGTCCCCGGGACTTAAATAGGCTAACTTTGTGAAATAACAGATAATTTGATAGAAAAACCTATTCAGATACATTATGATAAATTAGCTATCAAGGACCATGAGACTCAAGATGAGGTTGTTACTCTATCCAGGGTGTTCCTAAAACCCGTCTCCAGCCAACCTAAAAGAGGGGACTTCCGCCCCTAGACCAAGCAGAGAACCCCCTCTGACTAGTGAATTCTTGCTTAGGCTGTGAGGCAAAGCACTGCAAGGGAATATAAATAAAAGTTTAAAATGTCTCTCTGGGTTCCCTGAGGGACAAGCCTGACTGCATAGGGGTTGATGTCAAAAGTATCGCCTCTCCAGGAAAAAGATATCAGGATGGGTATGGCCCTCATGCTTCACTGGACAATGACAGGGGGACTGGAGCCATTACAAGGTCCCCTTCAATTAATGGAGGTCAGGCCTCTGTCCCCACCTTAGAAAGATTAGAATTGCCACAGCCCTTCTATACTTAGAGAAGGGAGGAGATATTAAAGGCATCCTTGCTTATACACTGAAGGCTAAAATCAGCCATAGGCCTAAAATCAGCAATAGGTCTGTCATACATATATGCTAACACAAAGTCTTGGGTCTCTGTGGAAAAGCATTGTAACAGATGGCTATAAGCTACTGTAAACAGGCAGCTTTTGTGGAAATTTATCAGCCTGAGTAGCTATAGACCTTGTAAATAGGTAGCCTTGGCAGATAATACCAACTTAGATAAGGACGAGTGAATCATAGGCAGAGTCATAGCGACCTGTCCCCTGAACCTTCACCAGCGGATACCCTGTTCTGAAAGATATCTGTACTCCCCCCGAACACCCATGCTCAGGTGTCATTCCCTTCCCCATGTCCTGCCTTTTTGTGTTTATAACCCCTGTGTGAATAAGTAAAAATTGTGATTTGATTTAAAGATAAATAAAAAAATAAAGATAAGCTTGACAATCAAAAAAATATAAGAATAGATAATAAAAGATAAACTAGAAAACACAAGGGTAAATAATACATGTATTGTATTTAGAAATTAAAAAATTGAGACATGAAAGCTTAAAACAATCTATTTGAGAAGAGGAAGGAAACTAGAAAGAGATGGAGAGTACATAAGAGAGTAATTTGGTGTGAACATGATCAAAGTATACAATATCTTTATGTGAAAATGGAATTGTGAAACTCATTATTTTACTCAAGAAACATATACTAACAAGTTTATAAAGAATACCAGTACATTTTTGCAAATGATGTAAATATTTGGCACCTTGATTGTCATAATTTCATTATAGGTTTATCTATACATCTCCAAACTCAACAAATACTATGCAGTAAGCAGGGCAATTTTTTTTTATATATTGATAATATATTAAAAAGTTTAAAAAAATAGAGGAGTGGAGTAAGGAAAATGAAGACAGAAGTAGGGATGGAAGCAAGAGAGAGTGAATAATAGAGGGAGGAGTATTACATTCCTACTGAAGTGCAAAGAAATAAGTTGCCCTGATCTTGATCCCTATCAGTTTCCTGCATTTAAAATATATTATGGAACACTGTTCTTTTGAGCTTTCAAAAAGTTCTAGGGAAACTAAGTAACTACATTTTCTGCCTGCTCCTAGAATCATTGCATATGTGGCTGCTGTGTCACATGTGTCAGGAGACGGCAGATAGAACAGAAGCTATGCCTATGTTCAGTGTACCAATCTAAGAACATCTGAATGATTAGTGACCTAATATTTCCTGAAACAAAAAAAGTGAGCCTGCAACAGCTACAAGTCTGATTCCAAGGAGCTTGCCTGAGACAGTGGCAGGCACCAACTGATCCCAGGACCAGAAGTAAGCCAGAGACTAGAAGAAGCCTGCTTGGGACTAAGGACACTGGGCAGGAGTAAGACTGAGACAGATGACACTCACATGGGACCACTCAGTCAGACTGGATGAGGAGCAAGCCTGAGATGACTACCAGATCTGCACTATGGGGCCTAGACAGGGAAGTAGCCTGACATGAACACCATTCGGGTGCCTCACAGGCCTGTGTGTATGAACAGATCATGCCCGAGATGACATCTTCCCTTACCTGACATCATAATGCAAGAGCAGGACATAGAATAATTGAAATGACTCCACCTCAACCCAGTTAAGCAGAGATCCCAGGAGCCTCTAAGAGTAACAATAACATGGTGAAGAAATGGAAGAGAAAGAGGTACAGAAGGATGAGAGCACAACGAAGAGAGAAAGAACTGGAGACTCAAGGGTAATGAGGAACAGTCTGATATGTGTAGCCAGTGATGCTACCTGAAACCATGAGAGTGTCCTGGCTTGTGCTGCTACCAGGGCCAATGTATGGGTTCATGATCTTTAAACAGCAGGAGTCTCTTATCACCAAATGCCAGGCGAATGTGGCCTCCACTGCCATCCAGAGGAATGTTGATGTCTGAAGGCTGTGCAAAATTGTTCCACACCTCACTTGGACATCTTGGGATAACTAGCCCTGGGGTCATGAGAGCAGGAGAGCTGATCCTGCCCTGCAGTACTCTGGAGAACAGCCCCATACACTGCAGAGGTTTAAGGTGAGCCAGTCCCTGAGGATTCTAGCCTGACAGAGCTGGCCTTACCATTCATATCCCAGTCTCCCCTGTGGTGGCATGGACTAGTGAGAGATACCCTCCTTCCCATTTACTCCTCACCACTAGTAATAGGCAGGAGACCTAGACTGAGGGTTATAAGAGCAGGAGAGTTGTCTCTGTCCCTCACAAGCTTTAGAACTCTGTACCTTGTCTGTTCAGCACAAGACCCTGATGGCAGCTGCATGAGCAAGTATAGGAAAGTTGGCCCTGGAAATTGTCTACAATGTAGTAACTTGGGTGAGGGAGAGGTGACTCTTCCACATACACTTTGGCAGCTATGGCAGGCAGGAAAGCAGGCCCCAATGTCATCAGAGCAAGAGAGCTGTCCCTGCCTCTCATCTGCAGCAGCACTAAGGAAGGTAGGTACTTCACCTAGCCTAAGAAACACATTAGAACTGGCCATGGAGGTGGGTGTTGTGGTTTAGGTCTTCCATGGAAGAGAGTAGGAGAAACCTGGCCATGCCTCTTGTCTGCTGGTTGATGGTGAGAATAAGAAATGACCTTCCCTTCTTCTCCCTCACGATCTATGCCATCTATGGCAAGCAGGAGAGCTTGACTTGTGGTCATGAAAGTGGGAGAGCTGGCCATGTCCCACACCAACCGCAATGATAGGGAGACGTAGGGCAGTGGGCTGTGTGAAAGGACAGCATGGTTTCTGGTTGAGCACTGGCTAAAGACCCAACAGGTTGGAGACCTCACAAGTTTCCCTGCAAGGGACGACTTACATTTCTCCACGTTCCCAGACTCCAAGCTCCTGACATGAGGCAGAAGATCTCCATCAATCCTTGCCTTTCAGGCACATAGGACAGTGCCCCTACCAGCCCCTCTACAGGTAGAGGGCGTGATTTACATATTAATGAGATACCTAAAGGCCAGAGGGAGTAGCCAATTAAGCATTCCTTCCCAGATCCTCATCCTACTTGCAAAAGGTTTTAACCTCAGGCCCACCTGAGAACACGAAATACAGGTTTATCCACTTTCCACAATGACAATAAGTCTTTTGAGATCATGGACTACCTCTAGTCTTTGGGGCCTGCCATGGGGGACCATAGAGAAGGTCTTCAACTACTGAGCCACTGTGTAATCTCCCTCTGAGGACCACTCTGCATTCCAGCCACAGAGCTCACCAACTCAAACAAGCTAGCTGAGCCAGCTTGGAGCTCATCTTCTCCCCCTCTGCCCCTTTCAGTCATGGATCGCTCTAGCCTATTTGCCCAGTCTCAACTCTTCTGCGGCATCTTAGTGGCACCTGGGAGCCCAAGGGTCTGAGACCAGTTAATCCCTGCCAGCCTTCTTGCCCGGAGGTCCCCAACCCTAGATCTCCGGCCCACACAGGACCTCAGACTGGGATGTTCCCACATCCAGAGTGAAGCTCTGTGGCTTCCCATAGCCTGGTAACCCGTGGAGTGAACTCAGTCAAATTTCCATGCTTCTACTCCCTGAGCTGAGGTTCCAGCCTCCTGGGGCGGCAGACACGCAGGACCTACAATTCAGCCCAACAGGACTCATGCCAAAGCAGGCAAGCTACAGCCCCACAGGGAGAGAGAGTCCTGTCCCTCACATGGGCAGCAGGGTAGAGCTGGCCCTGGTATGTGTGTGGGGGGAGGGTGTTGCTGGTGAGCCAAGCTCAAGGGCATGAGAGCAGGAGAGCCTAAAACCAGCTCATATAGATCTAAGGTCCAGATCCAGGGCTTAGAATTGGTCTACTCCAACATCTACCCTATTGATATACTGCTGGAGTGCATGAATAGGCCACCTCTACGGATCCAAAACTACAGGATCTCCATGACACAGAGTAACAACAGGATATCCAAGGGGATTCCCAGTGAGGTTCCATTATTGATAGAGTAGCAGAAGCCAGAGGCCTTGTACCAGACCAACTACTGAAGTAAAAAGTGTGGATAAAAGGGTATATTGTGGGACACACTGTGATACACTATAACTTTTACATTCAAATTTTATTTTCACTGTTGAGGGGGAGGTTGCAAGAGTGGAGGGCAAGAGTATGAGGGGAAGGGGAGATGAGATGGTTGTATGATGTGAAATTCACGAAGGACCAAAAAAGTTCGTTAAAAAATAAGTTTTCTGCTTATTTTGTAAACTTTTGGTAATTTATATCCTTAAATATTTGTTTACTTACAGTATTATTGACTATATTTTTTAATAATTTATATAAGATCTTGACTGACATACCCTTTCTTTCCTAAAATTGTTCTATCTCTTTCAAGTTATTATTCATGAGCGAAGGCTTATTTTAGTTATCTTTTCATGGAACTAAATTTTGATTGTCTTTATCTTAATCAGTTTATCAGATATTTGAGCTTAGATTTAAAAATTTTCCAGTTACATACTTTGAATGAAATTTGCTATTTTTCTCCCATTTGTTAAAGTTGTAACTCATGTAACACATGAACATTTAAAGGTATTATTTTTTTATAAACATTGGTTAATATACATGTCCAAAATACATATATATATATTGTATTACACTTTTGTTCAGTGTATTTTTTGTGGTACATTTTGACTTGTTCTTTTAACCCATCAATTATTTTAAAATTTCTAAATATTTTTGAGTTTTATAGTAATATATATTAATTTTGAAATTAATTGTGCAATGTTCATAAAACATACTATATGTGATATTTTCTTTTTAAAGAAGTTATTAAAGTTTCTTTCTATAAGTTTTATGCTTGTCTATTATGTAAGACATGTACATGCAATAAATAAATATTCTGATATTTCAGTGTTTGAGCTCTCTATATGTTAACCAAGTCACCTGGCAAATAGGTTTTCCTTGAATGTATATGTTTTCTAAATTTTCACTTAGTCATATCAACTGCTGAGAGTAATCTATTGAAATATTAAGTCATGATTTTGAAGTAACTTGTTAACTTGTTTATTCCTTTAAATATGACATGAGTTTTCATGTGTTTGAAAACTATATTGTTAGACACATGCATATTTTATAATTTCTTATACTTAATACATCTATGGTAATGAAAAAAATTTCTTTAACTATTGTATTTATTATATTCATATATATATATATATATATATATACACAATTTTTCTACCCATTTATGTCTCATTATTTGGTGACTGTTTGTGTGTGACTGTTTTTAATGTATATTTCTTTGTCAATACAAAAATATAAGAGGGGAATGAGTCCATGCCAACCAGAGAGCACAGGCCTCTCGAAGCTCCTTTGCTGTGGGTCCACAGTCATCACCGGTTCCTTATGAATGGAGATATTATTGCACTTGTGGTCAACAATGTCTCTGGAATGTGCAAAGCTAGCTTTACAGGATGCAGTAGTCCCTGGGCGATCCATCCTTCCATTATGGGCTTCCCAATGTACCAAATTATGATGGTTGGTATAGGATAGAAGGACTCTTACTTGGCCTAAGATAAGCATCTTGACCCTGAAGTACCCCATGACACACAGCTTTGTTAACAACTTGGATGCCATGAAGAAAATCTGTTATCTTTACAATGAGAAGCATTTTGTTACTGTGTTCACTTACCAAAGCACTGATGAACTCCAAGGCTAACTGTGAAAAGATAACCTAGGTCATGTCTGAGACCTTCAACACTCTACATTTATATGTAGTAGCCATTCAGGCCAAGCTGCTTTTGTATACTTCTAGTCATAACACCTGCATTGCATTGGACTCTAGATATGGCATCAACCACACTGTGGCAATCTCCCAAGGACTAAAATCTCTCCCCCATACCATCAGGTGCCTGGAACTGGATGGCTGGAACCTGATAAAGTATCTCATAGAAATCTTGTCAGAATATAGCAGCAGTTTCATCACCATAGAGGAGTGGGAAATTGTGGGTAGGAGGTTCGTTGAGGGGAGACCAGGAAGGGAGGTAACAAGTTGATTAATGAATAAGAATAAATAATACATATAAAATCAATGATTAAAGTACAAACAGTCAATTATTAATATAGATAAATAAATTCAGAGAACGGCTAGCCACTGGTCCATGTTGAGACACATGCCATGAGAGAGAACCCACCCTTGACACTGTTAATGATATTCTGGTATACTTACAGACAGGAGTCTAGCATAACATTCATCATAGAGGCTTTACCTAAAAATTG